TTTCTATCCTTGACTTTTTGTAATTCACCCAGACAACGAAATTGGATTTGTGTTTTTTGAAGAAATAAAGATTAATTACTTGCTTTGTTTCCTATCTGACATAAAGCATTCGTAATGAATGTACTTAGATGTCTGAGGTATAAGAAAACATTTATATCTAAGCACTTTGAAAAGGAAAGTTCTTGGATTACATTCAATGAACATGCTTTTTTTGCAACTCAGATACAACGGTGTATGTACTCATCTATATAATGTTTCATAGTGCTATCAATGACAATTTGTATATTATAGAAAGATATAATAAAAAAATGTATATTATAAAATTATAAATTTTTAAAACAATAATTAAATTATAGTAATTATTTAATCAATACATTTTCATTTACACCAGACTATTTCGTGAAAAAAACTTAAAACATTTGAAACAGGTATTATTTTAAATAACTTTGTTGTTGTTTTAGATATACTCATACGAAAATACCTTTTAAGTTTTAAAATCTAACTTGATTGAATAAAACAGGAAGAATAAATATATAAGAATATATAAACAAAGTTGCTAATGTTCTGTTCAAACTGTTTATCTAAGAGACAAGTCCGTTGATGTTTGAAATTTTCAATGACGTATTTTCAAGATTTAAACAAGCAAACGTTCTTAAATTTCTTTGATTAACCGAGGAAACAGCTTCATGTGTTTTTTTTGTATTTTTATACATACATAAACATCCTGTTCGAAAAAGCAAAACAATTTCACAGTTCATGTTATAATTATCCTGCCAGTTATCTACAGTAGATGTATGAAATGTATGTAGATTATAAGGGCGTTCACAGAATTGTGTTTATCAATGTGTGCAAATGTTATGATGAAAATATACCTGTAAACTTACTTAACTTCTACAGTTTATATTATGTTAAACTTTTTATCTTGTCTGAATAAAAATTTACTTGATAAGTCTTGGCAAAATGAAGCAGGGAAAATATAAAAATAAGACTTCAACATTTTTTTACAAATAAATATTAAAGAAAATGAATTTACAATTACGGATGTTTTATGTATTTATTATTTTTCTAGAAAGAAACAATTATGTTTAAAACATGTTTTAAAAAGGTTTTCGATTGTAAAAAATAAAAATGATCGTTGCAAAGTACATATAAGAGCTAGAATTGATTTTTTGTAAAATTTGAGGTAGATTCACTATAGCCAATTTGGAATAAATAAGCACATTTGAATGCCTCTCTGATATGTACTTTGAGTGGGTAATTAACGATTAATGACAATATTGTCATGGTGCTCCTTTAGAGCAAGATTCTTAAGTGCTGTATGGTGTAAAATATGCATTGAATGTGTGATAATAAATATATCTTTTCTATTGCTTTATCATTATCATTTATTTATATAACTTTTGTTATTGATCTTTTTTACTAAAACAATTCGTCAACTTATCGTTTTATCGCTACGTGTACATATATAAATAAGACAGTAGATATTCTGTCTTACAGAAATAAGTGCATAACTTATGTATGGCATATTGTGTGCTATCTATAATTGTTGTTTTAAAACAGAACATTCCGCATATTTTCGCTAAAAAGGTTTTCAATTTATATTTTTATACATGTTTATAATATTAAAAATCATAATTTAAAAAAAACCCATAAAAATAATGAAAAAAAAACAACAACAAAAAACAAAACAGGATTATCAAATGAAGTGAATGTGTAAGATTATCCTATACTGCTAATTTTCAATTTTTTCAGATTAATTTCCTTTCATTTTTAAGCTTAAAGGAAAATACTACCTACATTTGATAACAAATGCGTATAACACGATTTATAAGAAGATATTTAGATAAATATTTAAGTAGTAAGCGAATAATTTTGATAACATTATAATACATTAAATGTGTTTATTAATTATAGTACGGGTATAACATATTTTGATAGAGAAAAAATCGTCACAGATACGAACTCACACATAAAACAAAAAATATAATTAAACAAAAACAATCCCCCCAAAGCACAAAACAAACAAAAAGGAGAAAAAAGATAAAAATAAACAAACATAATAATGTGCAGCAAGAGAAAGACTGTATATGGAATAAAAGGAGAGAGTTAATAACGATAATTACATTACCTAATCGTTATTTCTTTGGATGGCAAAAGGCTGCAACATAAAATATATAAAGAGACCGCTTGAAAGTCAATATCAACTTTTAACTACTTATATAGAGCTATACAACTGCAGACTCTCTCATTTCCATTTCCTAAGTATCTGGCTGTGATACAAAATCGAGCTTTGATCATTGCAACAACAATAGAATAAAATAATTTCAGTTTTAGGAAATACATTTGCCTCTTCTCTTTTCTGCATTAACATTTAATCTAACATGATTACACGGAAGTGCTTGTAATATAATAAAGATAAATCTGGATCATAGTCTTAGGCTTGACAAGCCATAAAGAATATTTTCTTGATACTGTGCAATAAAGTGCTTTAATGTTGCAGCTTACAGTTAAAGTTGGGATTGATTTTCTTGCCATTTAGACCATCGCAAAATACAATAATATACAAGATATGAACATAAACATATGGTGTCTTAAACTCGAATTTTTAAGTAGTTTGCGATTTAAAAAAACTATATCGATAACGGTCAGCGACGAAAAAACAATATACTGCAAAACAAAATTTTCTTCGTTGTTACTTTGATGCCGTTTTGTACAGATTACAAGGGAGTTTTTTCGTAGAAAAAAAATGAATATTTCATCTATAATCATTTATCTTAAAAATCGTTTTACATTGACCTGATTGCTTATTAGAAATTTAACATGTCTTTAGGCTAAATTTATAAAAACACAATGTATGCTAGATTCTGATAAGAACTTTTACAATATGCTCTCATTTTGTGAAAGAATGTATGACTTTATGATGTTTATTTCAAATTAGATAGGCCTATATACTTTTCCCTATACTCCTTGAAAACAGAGAAATATAATAATTAAATTTTCATCGACGTGTTTTATCATGCATACCTTATGATCATGCAATGACGCATGCAATAAATCTGTAATGATAATACAAACTGTTTACAGTTTATGACAATCTTAACAACACCTGTGCCTCCCTGAAATATTCTCACAATTAAGTAATTTGCAAAATATTTACACCTGTATTGAAATGAAAGACATTCAGTTACAAAATGCTATAATTAATAGAAGAATTTTTATTGATGGAAATATATTTCAAAGAGTGAACACCAGATGCAATAACCTCACTAATATCGCAGCCAGAAGTGAAAATATAACCGCTTGTACTTAGGAGTGGAATATAATATTACAATGTACCAAACACGCACAGAAACAACAAACTTTATATTTAATTCATGCTGTTAATTATGAGTACTTTTGACTGATTTTGAACGCGTAACGTCATACGCTCTACTCCATGGTGTCTTTAAATCGTGACATCATAGTATACATAGTAATGCTATAAAATTTATAGAATTTGTTTCATTTTCAACACGCTGTGTGTAAGTATAAAGTAGATGCATCACGTAACCATAAATATATTTTACTTAAACATAGTGCATTTTAAACAAAATGTCTACTCATTTATCATGATACATTATTTTTCACCCCCATTCAAATATAGCTCGGAAACAGTGAGTTGTACTTTGATATTTTTCACTGAATTAGTATCAAAATATAATTTTATTATCAACTGAAAAACAAGTAATAAATATATCTCAAAGTATTTTGCACATGGTTGCCTTAAAAAGAAGTAAACAATGAAGAAAAAACTAATGCATGTTGTTTGTTGCAAACGTGGTGTTTAATTTCTGATACTTTTATGACAGTGATGTCAGACATATGTTGTTTTATTTTTAATTTTAAGTAAGAAAAAGTTGAATTTTTTATGTTACAAAACGAAACGGTTGTGGCCTTAACAACGAGTATTCGAGTATTATACAGCAAACAGCCGCTTACATACGATTAAATAACCTATAAAAAGTCTGAATAACGAATTTAAGATGTTGCACAATTACGTTCATTGATTTAAGTAAAAAAGCTAAAAAATCTACATTTGCAACATGTGTGTAAAACACTGACATGAACATCACAATCTCGTAAAAAAATCTACATTACAAACGAGCAATATTTTAAATGAAGTTGTGAGAACGTGAAATATTGTGCAAACAAACTGAAACAAAAGAAGATATTTTATAAGCATCAGTGTTTCAAATGGGATACAACGTTTGAAACATAAAACATTAAAGATGCAAATAATCAATATGCATGTCTGTTTTATCATCCCAACATACATTTGTATTTTAACTTATTTTGTGTTATGAATAATAAATAAAGTCTCGTACTCCTCTTTCTCTTTGACAGTCATATTTTAAAGAATCGTGTTAGAAATGTTCCCAAATGTAAAACGTGATAATTTCATTTAAAATATAAATTAATTATTAAAATTGACGAAAAAAAAAGAGGGTTTCATTGCCAAAAGATTTGAAAAGAGAAAAAATCAATGATGAAAGAGGTACAAATAGTCAATTTCTTTGATGAAAGACGTAAAAACAAGACAATCGCCTTGGCAAAAGAGTTTTAAATTGAAATCTTATTCACAAAAACGCTTTGTAAAATTATAACAGACAATTATATTATTTAATGTGTTTAAATCCAACATTCTCTTTGACAAATATTTTTAACAGATAATCTCATAGACGAAAGAGTTTAAAACAGGCAACTTAATTGTAAAAAAAAGACAAAATGCGTTTTAATATCATAATGATAACTTTCATACATTCAAGTATATCAGCTATAGTCCGTCACAGTTGTATGTGCTTTACAGACCTCTACTACTTGCTGTCAGTCAGATTTACATTCGCTGTTGTCTCGCTGGAAAATGCTTTATCGGAGAATTCCAGGAAACATTTATTTTCTTAGGCATTATAGATCAAGTAAAATTTAGTCTGAGGACAAACACATAAGAAACCAATACTTCGTTAGAGCTGGTACATTGTAGCTAACGAATGTATATACAATTGATTTGTGGATGTAACGTATCAATGTAAACACATTGTCTAACAATAAAGTATTTACAATTACAATGTGCTTCTAGGATAAACATTCTAGAGGTAAGAACTTAACGCAGTTTTCGTACGTATTTTTCGTCGTTCTTTATAACAATTTATTCATTGTTTTAAACAAGATGTTTTGATGTGTTTATTCTCTTACGCGATATAATTTATATTGTACATTTTAAAATGCTCTTTATTCTTTGCTTTTCATCATAAGATACACTTTAAATAGATTCTTCAATGCATTTTCAAAATATATATATATATATATTTAAATAAGGGCATGCTTATATTAATAAACATTAAACAAGTTTACAAGTATCATACATATATCTTACGTAAAGAAAGTAGATAACTTAAACAGTAACGATAAAGTGTATTTAAGTCACAGTTTTGCAGTGAGTGTATCCGGTTTGCTATTCTTAATTGATTGCTATTTTAATATTTGGATTTAATCACAAGTCCTATTAATGAATTTGAATTATAATTCCGACACGAGCTATCAGGAAATTAATATCAAATATCCGATTGCAAAGTTTACTTAAAGGCCCATTATGCCTCCGAAATGCTATAATTCTTATTTCACAAAAATATTTTTTTTTATTTCTCGTCACAGTAACCAAAATGAATAAATAATACAAATTTGTTTCCTTCTTTTGCTTTGCTTTTAATTTGTATAATTAAAGTAAATTAATATTTTGTATGGTAGTCAAAAATGCAATTTTGTGTAGATTTTGCCACTGCACATTTAGCGCTATTTTCTTCAGCTGTTTAATATATGTATATTACATACATTGTACTCTAAATCCATTATTAAAGCATTAGTTGTTACATGCTTCACATTAAAGAATTTATTAAAATTATTATGGATTTCTGAGTATGTGCATTTAAAAGCGCCATAGTTTGTCCTCTGGTATATCATTTAAACAAATGTCCTATATCTTAATATCCTAAAATGTAATAAATCAGTTTTGAATCTAATTTTTTTTTGCTCAATCATGTTGCCGCATGTTTACATACATGTATCACTACCGTAAATATTTATTAACAGAAATAGAGGGTAGCTTAACTGGCTACCAATAAATTTGCAGTCTTAATGTTTTTTGTCATATTTTATGTCAAATATTATTCAAATTTGTATACACAATAATGCCAATATCAATATGCCCCGTCTAATTTAGATCCCCTTTCTGAAAACAACTTGTTAAAAAACGTAACTCAAACGATTATAAATATTTATTATGAAAATGCATTTAAAAGTCATTTTAGTATAATATAAACGTTCCGGTGACCGATGTATTAAAAAGAAAAAAAGCATTGCAGTAAGACTACCTTAAGCCCCGATCTGATAGTTTCATAAGGTCAAGAAATAACATCCTTTGTTAATCAGGACTACAATAATGAGTATTTATCAAATAAATGCTTTAAATTTTCCTCTCTATCTTGTGTATTCATCTTTTAAACAATATAGGTCACCAATCCTTACACTTGAACATGTTGCATAACCAAATTCTTCACCAATATGTTCATTTTCATCTAAAATAACATGAGTTATATGGTCAAATATTGTGAAGCATTAAAACAGAAGTATCTGCCTTGTAGCAGTTAGCTAGACAAATTTCACGCTAGGCAGGAAAAGGAATCTCAAGGGTATTTATTTGCATATCAATATTATTGATTTTGGTCGTAAAACTAACCCATTTAATAATCAAGCTAATGTAATAAAGAGATCGCACTCAGTAACTGAATGTTATGGAATAAAAGCAAAGACTTCTAAAAAGTGCAATGATGTTTTATGTTTTCAGAATAAAGAATATGCTTAATTTATTAATAAATTTATTAATATTTCAATTTGCATATATATTCAGGCTTCGTAACCTCTTATTTCCTTTCAAAATTATATTGATTTTCTCCGTCCATCTTTCTTTCCCTGTTGGTTTTTGTTAGAGCACACGATTCCTTTTTAACTTTTGTGACCATACGCCCTTTTTTATTGAAATTCACAAAAGGTCTTATTTTAGGTCCAATGATCACCGCCGGTTCCACGATCAAGCCTGTATGGACACATCTGAGGTTTTCCTTTAACATTTTTATGTTCAAATTAGCTGATACTTACTGGCGTGACGGTAGCTTGCACAAATCACTACCGTCAATGAACACGCCCAGTCATACCGAGTCTGCAAAATTATCCATTTTGCCATTTTAGGCAGTTTTAATGATTTTTTTTATATCCTTTTGTTATATTTTCTCGGTTAACCTTTTTACAAGTGAATGAATGGAATAGGTGGAATTGATTGTGCATTAAACTATTTACATTTTTGTATAAATATTAAGAGAGGCATTATCATACCATAATATAAATTATTTCATTATAAACTGTCAAGAAAATAAGCTTATAAAAATCCTCAACAATAAGATAATCATTAAAAGGGTTTTCTCGGCAGTGTCAAATAGTTCTAAAACTAAGTTTCATAAGACTTAGTATAAAGCTATTTACTTAAAGTAGTTTGCACTATAGATGAAACTTTTCTTTTGTAAACAACTATTTTGTTACTTTCATGTTATAAGATTCATATACAATTATAAGTTTCCCGCTTTTTGATTAGGATATATACAATGAATACTTTTTTGTCTCAACTAATTTCCTTCTATTTGTCTATAATTATAGTACCCAATTCCGGAAAGAGGAAAGAAAACATTTTGATTAAATGAAAGCCTTCAATCATAATGTAATAATCCTGTCTTCAGAGGAGGTAATTAGTTGTATCAAAAGTAGAACCTATGAACATGGATTACAAATTCATATCGTATATAATGTGGGGAAAGCAATGTTTCTTGACGTAGTGCGCGACAATTTCTCTACAAACACAGAAACTGTATACAGTGTATTACTTGACGATTAGGCGCTTAACAAGAAATCGATTGGCCTTTCTAATAGCTTGACAAGCCGAGAGCTTTTGAGAATAATAATGAGAGAGGCAAACAAGTGGCTCAAATAATTACATCCGACAATTTATTCATGATGGCCTTTGGCCGCCCTCTTATTTGCTATGAGATGCTTATTATAAATTGTCGTTTATGAAGTGATCATTTTGGGGCAAAGCAGTTAGGGCTTACTTGTTTGAATTATTCAAGCTAACAGTCGTATGTAAGTAATAATTGTTTTATTGAAGTATGGACTGTGCATTGTAAGAAACATTAATATGTAAAGAGTAAAGAGATCGTAAAGATATATCAAAGTCAACTGTTGGGCCTAAAATAAAATGTTGTTTGTTTTTCCCTCCCGCTACATAGCCACACAAATCACAGCTAACCAAAATTTGTATTGCCTAACAAAAACATTTTTTTCCAACTAAACATAAAAGCAGAGTCTGTCAATGAGTATCACATCTTCATATACAAACTGGGATAATGTTGAATAAAACTTTGAAAAATAGGGTAGTGATAAATCAGATGTTGAGCATTCACAAATAGTTTTGGAATCACTATAATTTCAGATATATATTTTTTATCTTCCTACCAACCCTACCCAGACTGGCATATAATGCGGGAGGGAAAACAAAGATTATTTAAAGGCTATAGCCTTGTTTGGATATTTTTGTTTTTAAATTGGTATTTAAAATACTTTCGTTTTCAAATTTCAGGAAATATGGCGAGTGCACATATTTCTGCGGACGAGAAGTCAGATTCCAGCACACTGACACGAGACAAACTCTATGTGAATCCTCCCCATCTAGAAGCTCGATATCCTGGTACACCACGTGTCAGTCTCACGTGTTATCATGGATCACCACGTGTTAGTACTAGTTATCTTCACAATACGTCCATTCCAAGTTTGGACGCCTTAAGTCTCAACAAGAATCGGCGGCGAAGCACTATACATTCATACAACCTTGTTAATTACTACGCTCTACCTCAAGACTCGTCAACCAATAGAAACATTAGACAAATGACTGAGCGAAAAGCTCTGAAAAATGTCATAGTTCTTGGACTATCATTCATGTTTGTTCATACCGCATTTGTGTCTTTATTGAGTTTACAAAGTGTTATGAACCCTGAAGGAGGTATAGGTGTTGTTTCCATCAGTTGTATTTACGCAACAACAGTTATTTCATGTCTATTGGCGCCATTATTGATAAACACCATTTCATCAAAATGGACTATGATAGCCGCATTTATATTATTCACTGGCTATTTTGCCGGAAACTTTTACCCCAAACAGTTCATGCTGATACCTCTAGGATTGATATTAGGCATGCTTGGAGGGCCACTAATGGCAGCACAGATGACATACGTGACAACAGTTGCCCTCACATATGCTCATCATGCGTTAATAATTGACCAGGAAACTGTTGTTAACAAATATATGGGCATATTTTGTGCGTTTTATAGAAGTAGTTATATATGGGGAAACCTCATTACAACTTTAGTATTATCCAATAATCAAACATTGCGCTTTGACGATCACGATACATTTGACCCATCAGGGAACTTGACGGTTTCGTTTCCGGAACAAGAAAATGTTACTATTTATAGAACATGCGGTGCTTCATCGTGTCAAGTAAATTCGATGACGTGGCCAGTGGAAAACTACGATATTTCAAATAATCCGTATAGATACGAGACAGAAATTCCAGATAGTACAAAATATATGCTGCTTAGTATTTATCTGGGCTGTGGGGTCATGGCCGCTGTGATTTTGATGGCGCTTCTTGACAGGAATGTTGGTTCTAAAAAAATCAATGCGGATCTAAAAATAACCACCAAAGAACTTTTCTTCTCAACCATTCACATGTTAAAAGACTCTAGATGCCAACTACTTGTACCACTAGTTTTGTTCGTTGGTCTTGAACAAGGCTTCATCTTTGGAGATTTTACGCAGGTGAGTTTACCGATTGTATTCAAGGGGCTTACGTGGCTTTGTTTTTAAAGTATCTGATTTTGGATTCTTTCTACGCAGAAAACTATTTATCTAGCTCATTAAAGGTCGATGGTTCTAGTGAAACTAGGGTACTCACTTGTACTGAAAATAATACTTGGAAGATCTACCTCTACCTGTAAAACTGAAAAAAACGCCACATTACTTCCCAGTTTAAAATCCCCAACCAAATAAGATACAATTGGTACAGTAATCTAATATATTTTCCCTTTTACTAGGATTTGCCTTTTTAAGGAACTACTTAAATATTCTCAATGACATTGAAGGAAATTGGAACACTCTTTTCAAGCAATTATATTATTTTAGCTATTAAGTAAAAATAGAGAGAAATAAGAATCCCTAAACCACGGCAAAATTGTAAATGTTGCAGGCTCGGTTTGATTGAGCCTGTTCATGGACTGTACTGTCAAGTGCAAACTACCATCCACACCCCCTAGTACCGGCTTAAGCAGAATTCAACATTTAACATGAACTGGTAAAATTTAAAATTTTGAAACATTCGCAGATGTGTAAAATAGAACGTCAAAAATCAAACTTCTGACATATATAAAATATTCACCATCTTAGCAAAAAAACGGTCAATATAATTTTCAATATTAAAGAAGTTACTATTTTTATAACCACAGTTCTGCCACATTATCAGTGGGATAATAGGCAATTCTGTATTTGTTGGCAAGATATAGTTATTTGCTATTGATAGTGAGTTCCACAGGCTAAGTCAAATGAATTATTGTAACTTCTAAATTCTTACTCGTAAAAGCAAAACATAGCAAAAAGATACAGAGAAAAATACAAACCTGACTGCCTGCTTCTAAATCCAGTAATACCTATTTATTAATAATAAACTATATTTTTGATATTAACGTTGATTAAGTATAAGTGTAATTACTTGTTAACAAATCATTAAACGGAATGGAATTTAATGAATTCATCTATTTAAAATTCATTGCACTATAATATATATTATAACATTTATAAATGTATGCATTTTGCATGTTGCATGCGAGGGCTAATTGAAGATCCTGACATTAACACTTATTATCTTATGGAAGGGCAAACATTAATTTTATAATGTTAAAAAAATGGTTTTATGTATATTAGATGGTTATAGCATAAAGAAAGTAGAACTGAATGTAGAATTGTTTGTAATACAAGAAGCAAAAATGTGAACAAAGTAGTATTTTGTCTTCCATACAAAATACTTAATTACTTTATCTCATATTAATAATAATTGCCAATAAGCAGCAGACATAAAAAATGGTTAAGGTAATTGTCAATAAGTATCTTTTTGGAAACTATTTCAAGACACAAAAAATGATTCAGGACAATTAAGATAAAAGCATTTCTGGTGTATAATGGACCTTTAAGTGGTCCATGATGGACTTACCAGTCCCTGTTATACAATTTTCTTTCTACACACATGTTCAGACGTATATTGTTATTATGGTCTAAATAATAGAAAAGAAATGAGACTTCAAGTTTTATCTCAATCAATAGTTCATAGCACAATCCATCAGACGACAAATTCAGTGTGATCTATCCTTGTTAATTTACACATTTTTCCGCTCAGATAGCGTTGAGACTAAATAAATTTTATACAGCTCAGCAGATACGGATTAACATTTCATTCATCATTATATTTGCCAATCAATAGTGCGCATTATTTGATAAATAGGAGGACTTTTTAGAACAAATGCGGAAACAAATATAATAAATAGTGGAAGCGACGTATTACGTTGTTCATGTTTGTATGCTAGAATTTATACACACGATACACAAATATAGTGAAAATGCCAAAAAAAAACAAACAAAAAAAAAACAAACAAACAAAAAAGAAAACACACAAAAAACTTAATATGTTGTACACTGAAAGGACATGCACCACAGTGAATTGTCCTGATTCATGTATATGCTAGACGATTGAAGACAGTAATGTTGTTGTAGATCTTGTGTCTTATTTTTTTTCATTTGATGTTCTTTTAACATGCATGAAATGCATGCATCTTTATAGGCCTACACAATACATTCAGAAAACAGAATGAATTTTACAAAAAGATTTATTTAGTACCTAGACAGAATATTCTGGTTACATTAACATCGTTTTGCTGTCTATTTTCTGTAAGTATAGTTAATACATTAATATATTGACAACATGGTCTTTTAAATATGCATGCGACTGCTTTTAGTTGATTAAACGCACCGAAATGTTACTCTAACAAGACCTATTCTCCTAAATAATAACCTAAAAGCAAGATAGAAAAAGGGACATAACTTCAGCAAAGTTATGTCCTTTTGTATCTTGCTTTTATGAAGAGCTTTTTTAAGGATAATCTGCCCTTTTGAAAGGGCGTCTTTTTATGACGTCACAATAAACATGTATACCAAGCTTAAAGTAAATAGCTTGAAAATGGACCTCAACTATATGGTAAACCAACGCCAACGAGAGAGTCATGGCAAAAGCTCCCTTTTTCTTCGAAATGTAGAGCCAAAATAAAAAGTCAAAAATCCCATTGTAGTTTTTTTAAATCATACATGTAGTGCAGATGTAACCTAGACAATTTGTATTTTTTAGAGTTTTTCTCAATTTTAATGAGCATACACGAAAGTATAGGGATTATCTGTGAGGTCATACAATTATGTGAAATATTCCTATGTTAACAACAGAGAGATCCCAGAGGGATATCTTTTTCCATCTTTGGTAAAACTTTCTACAAAAAACAGCTGACGTTAAATGTGACATTACGTTTTAACAATTACACAGACGAAATAACTTCCTCGAATTACTGAAAGGTTAAGTTACTTTATAACAAGTCAAGATAGAGTTACCTTTTAAAAATGCATTATCATGCTTTCTTACAGATTATATTTTACAGATCCAGTAATTCCATCAGACTGATAACTCTTATAAGATTATGCTTACTTACAATAATTATACACATTTACTTTATTGATCAATAATCGACATATTATTTTACTTTTCTAGGCTTTTCCAAGTATCATTAATGGTTCTTGCTTAACAAAAACACGTTAATGTATTGGTCCATATCTATGTCTTCGAAATGATGTGCTTCAGTTATGGACAATGATCTGCATAAGATATGCAATGAACTTTAATGTTAACTTTAACTAAATTACCAGTTTGGTCACGCTCAATATTTCTTGCATAATCACTCAATGACTTTTTGAATTGTATTTTTGTCATACATATTACATTTTATTAAAACTTGGGAAAGAGGGAGATCATTTAAGCCCAAAGAAAACAAAAAGCAATCGTTTCTTTGTTACTGTATCTGAGAGACTTTGTAAGATATACATCGCGGTAACACAACTCTAAATTTCAGCGGGTCCGAATTTGGTCTATTCTTATAAAAACACAACAAAAGAAAAACATCCACTGACTGTATTTTACAAACAAAAATGTATCGTATTATTTAATTTTAATTTGAGTACGTCTTAGCAATTTATTTTTTCCGTACACATATATAATGCTTCCTAAATAACATGCAAATAACTTGAAATGCTTTTATAGACATATTTAAATTATACTCCTACAAAAACCAATAAATTATCAGCTTATGTTTCCAAGGATAGCTTTAATGTGTCTAATAAAAGCTAGCAAATTAGTTTGTCTACAGAAAGTTAACTAAAGTGAGATATTGTGGGCCTGCAGCCTCAAAAGAATAATATTTACTTGGAAGCAAAAGTGATGACAGCATATGAAAAATGATTCACAAATATTGTCTTGCCACATAATCAATTTAATTTGCTTGGCACATATTCAAACCTCTATTGGAACATTGTATTAATGATAGAAAAGCAATGAGACTTCAAGTTTCATCTTAATCAATAGTTTATAGCACATTCCAGCAGACGACAGAATTTTGTGTGATTTATGCTTGTTAATTTACACATTTTTCCGCTCAGATAGCATAGAGACAAAATAAATCTATTCAGCTCAACAAGCACGGATTAACCTTTCATTTATTAATATTGAACCACCAATGGTGCGTGTTGTTTGATTTATGGGGGAATTATTTAGAGCAAATTCTGCAGCAGAAGATCAGAAACTGTTTTCGTAACGTTGAATCACATATATTGGTCGTAAATGTATCAAAGAAATTAAACACAATATAGTATAATTATTATGATTAAAGTATAAATTAACTAATATACATATGGTACCCTTAAAGGCTTTGCGGCATTTGGAATAGAAATCAATCTTGTAAATTCTTGACTTTTGAAGATAGTTGTTTAACTTATCTAGCGTAACATACGTAATTTCAATCAATTAAATAATAACGTCTTCTGATATACAAACAATTGACTACAATCGGAAAAACATATCAATTAACGTACGACTAAGGGCCCTCAAATGTACCCCATAATTAGGCAATATGCAGAGCCCTTGCCGGTTCAAGGTCAAGCATAAATATGAAAGTAAAAAATGTTATACAATTTCTTGTCCGCTATATTTATCATATATCTTTCGAAAGATTTTCTTTAAAGGTTCTGCACATTGCCTTGATTAGGGAATGTTTGAGCCAAATTAAGGCTAATCATTTTACTTTTATTACTCAAATTTAGAAGCCGTCATAATTATACTAAATTTGTCAATTCATTTGTAATTCATTTTATCATGACACATTATTTTGCATTTAACATCGAATCCAGCATAAAATAGGAAAGTAATTTGAAAAAAAAAAGTTATATATTCTTATGTTCTGCCAAATTTGTTTTAAAAAAAAACCCACAAGAGACTACATGTATATGTATATTTGATAAAAAAGTCCATATTCATTTGCATAAGTGATAGCTATTTAACAGTTCCTTACGATCATATAATGCTTCTTTCCTTACATGCAAATAACGTCTGGTGCTTTTATTGACACGTAGTCTCAGAGAATTCTAAAACAACGCAATCAAATTTACGTACCGAAGGTTTA